TATATTTGGAGTATCGATTCAGGGGAGAAAAATTTCCTGGCGCGGCACAGAGAGCCAACTTTCCTTGCGGTGGAAGAAGCAATTGACTCAATATATTTGTTCCATCTCAGGTCAGCAGTCAGCGTGAGACCGAGCAGACGCAGGGAGTTGCTCTCCGGAAGTTGACTATCAGACATTTTAATGGGGGAGCAGGAAAGGATCTCTATGGTGGTTAATGGAGAGTAATTTAGTTTTTGAGGCGTTGAAGCTGACCAGCCAATTCTTGCCCCAGTTAACAACCGATTGGAGGTCCATTTCAAGACGCACGGCCAGGTTAGTTTTGTCGCCGACACTAGATTTGTTTTGTTTTTGAGGCAGGAGTAAATTGTAGTGTCGTCTGCGTAGATGCCAACTTGGGAATCTATGGTGTCATGAAGGTCATTGATGAAAATAAGGAAAAGGATGGAGCCTTGGGGAATACCTGCGTTCGTGGGATAGGAACTGGAGGAGAATCCATTGAGAACGACCTTCAATTCTCGGTTTGACAGGAATGATTGTATTAGATCAAACAGTCGACCAGTAACACCATACTCCTGGAGCTTACGAAGAAGGCCGGCGTGCCAAACCCTATCGAATGCTTTAGGGATGTCGAGGGCCACGGCACGAGCCTCGCTGTTATTTTGAAGGGCTTGGTAGATGGTTTCAGTGATGGCCGTAAGCACATCAGCTGTAGATCGGGCGAAGCGGAAACCATATTGCTTGTCTGAGAGCAGATTATGGGATGTAAGGTGATTAACCACTTCAGTGTTGATTAGGGCTTCGAAGACTTTGTGGAAGAGGGGTAGGAGACTAGTAGAACGGTAATTAGAGGGGTCAGGTAATCCAGAGTTCTTAAACACAGGAACAATGGATGAGGACTTCCAGCAGTCAGGAAAACAGGATTCCTTGAGGCAGTAATTATACAGTTTAGAGAGGGCGGGCGCTAGTTCAGGCGCGCATTTCTTCAAGACAATGGCTGGTATGCCATCTCCACTACTAGCGTTATGGGGGTCTAAGTCGGAGATAATGCCCAGTACCAATGACGGGGTTATGTGTAAGCCGCTCAATAAGGCCTTAGTTCTTGGAGGGAAGTCTGGTATGGGTACACCGGTGGAGTCGAGCATTGAATTAAATGAGAATTTCCAAGCAAAGCATTCAGATTTTTTGGTAGAGGAGGTCAAGACCTTGAACTGGTTGAATAAAGGAGGTATGGAGGGTTTTCTATTGTTCAGGACACTCTTGCAGACCCGCCAATAATCTTTTGGAGCCAAATTTGCGAGATGCTGTCGTTCCTTCATTCGAGCAGCAAATATTGACTTAACCGCTGAGGACACGCTTACACTCGTTACGGGCGGAGGCAAAGAGACGTCTATTGCAGTCCGACATATCGCTATGAAATAGGTGAAAGAAGTGATTCCTATCGGCAATGGCAGCTGAGCAAGCAGCGGAGAACCAAGGGGAGGAGTGCGACTTGACCTTAAATTTCCTTGAGGGGATGAAAGCGTCGATTCCAGCTTTAACCCAGGATGAGACCTCAGAAGCACATTCTTGGACAGGGAGTGTAAAGACAACATCCCAGGGGACATCGCAGAGGAAGTCACGGAAATATAATATATATATATATATATATATATATATATATATGAAGAAATATAGTCTTAAGGTGTGCTATATTTATGGGATAAAGTGCTGAATATCAGAGATAGAGCGTGTGTAAATATAAAGTGAACATAGAAGTCAACACTTAGCGGTGACAGTCTGTTTCATGCTAGACACAATTGTTATGCCTGACGACTGTGTCTAGCATGAAACAGACTGTCCCCTCTAAGTATTGACTTCTAAAGTTCTATTCATATATATATATATATATATATATATATATATATATATATATATATATATAATTGGGGAGGCATGGTGGAGTAGTGGATAGTGGCTCAGATTGAGGAATTCCAGTTGAATCCATTACATCCACATGTGCTTATAACCCTGGAAAGGTATGAATCCTCTTCTTCTCCTTTCAGCTAGGGGTAAATAGGAGGATAGAATAGGTTCTATAGCCTTGGATGGTAACTGGTCTAGGAGAAGGACAACTCTGAATTCAAAACCTGTCGAGGGTTGTTTGGGGACCTTGTGGTATGTAGTGCACAAGGTTTCTGTATTCAGCCCTTCAAAAAGTGTTGTTGGTTCTGCACAAAACCTGCACCACTATAATCAAATCATATGTGTTGGTATCTGGTTGTCAGTTACTAGGAACTGAGTTGCTTGACCCTCATACATCAAATACGATAGGAGAGTCCACCATATATTGATGGCAGGCAATATAAGTTTGAATAAGATGTATGCCCATAGTAGAAAAAGTATTAATATTAAAGAAAAACCAGGGTTGCTCAGGGCAATAGTTACTTGAGACCTCACAGACGTGTTCTAGCATCCCATCCACTTGGCAAAACAGTCTGTAAAGTTCTCATTTCAAATTTCCTGCAATTGACTCATTGCATTCTTCTTAATCTTGTCCAATGTCCGAACCATGATAGCTTTGGGGGAAAGCAAGAAGTTGCAAACAGCTAAGGCTGAAGGCAGGGGAGGGGGATTAGCTGATGGACCTGGGTGATGTCAAGCTTTGCCAAAAATAAAAATAAAAACTTGCATGTGACAGGAAGAATCTACTGTCATTGTGAATGCAATGATCATGCAGTTTACAACTCACTCTAATGGTGATTCAATCCCAACTGAGTAACCCTATTAGAGAGAGTCTATTCATGCATGCACAGTAACATCCTCTCTCACTGGTTGCTAAGTTACATGAAGGACATACAACCAGCACTTAAGAGATCCATAATGGCTTCATATATTTCAGACATAAATTTAACATATATACATACACATATATACGCACCTACATTATATATACATAAAAAAATACACACAACATATACATACAGAGTGTGTGTGTGTGTGTGTATGTGTACATGCATATATATATATATATATATATATATATATATATATATATATATATATATACACACACAGAGGTTGTATCAAAAATACTTTTATAAACTTTCAGGAGCAGGTTCATCATATCAAGACAAGGACAAAAGTCCATATAAACATGTCTGCAAAACATGCCCTTTTTGAGTTAAGTTTCAAATTTACGTGTGTGTGTGTGAAGTGTCACCGTTTTATAGTAGGGTCAGCTGGGAGCTGTCTGTGAGAAAAAGAGCACCATGATCTCCAATATGAATATTTGGGTGTCAATTGGAGATTGACACCTAATTTCTGAATTCTCTGCGCAGTCCTTCGGAAAGAGTCAGAAGAGTCTAATGGTGATTATGAAGATACAGCCACTCAGAAAACTCACTGAGTGTTCTGATAAGAAAAAAAACTAACAAATTTGTTGGAGAGGGTTTCTGACACAATATGGAGGCTTGCATCAAGTGCCTTGCAGAGGTAGTGCTGCCCTGGGTCAAGAGGGTGGCCCTGGAAGACCCTATATCTGGCAACAGAACTGAAGGCAAGGATTATAGCAGCATTCACCTACTTAAACAAGGAGAATGTCCAGAAGAGTTGCAAGAGATTCCTAAGTCGTTTACAGGCCATTGTTAAAGCCAATGGTGATTTTATTGAATAAATTGATTAGCATTTCAAGATATTCTTGTGTAATTTTGGTAAACATAACTGTTTAAATGAGATGTTAGTGTTATTTTTATTTTTGCATAATTTAATCAACAATTTATCTATCACACCTTGTTGGTGTGTGTGTATAATATATATATATATATATATATATATATATATATATAGGTATATGGCCAAGTGATTAGAACATTCGCTTGAAAATCTCATCATGGTTGATTGTCAGTAAAGTGACCTTGATATTATCGGTCCGGAGGAGACAATCCCAGTATGCAACACCTTTGGAAATTGCCTGAATACCATACCATGTGTTGATCCAAGCATTGTGAGTGAAATTGGGTAGACATTCTTGGGGGCATTTGATGGCTGTGCTAACACGAAGTCACAAGTAATCATGACCAAGGGTTTGAGCATGCTAACCATTTTCAGATTGCTGATCATGCTAGATAACACGATTCTCTCCCAGAAACTGTAACTAAGGTCTGCTTAGCATAGTTACAGTATAAGCCACAGTTGTGCTTGGTGGGTGTTGAACAAACACAAAATGCATCTGCAATATGGATTAGCTAGTCAACCTAGTAGATAGGTATCCCCAAAAACAAGTATATATATATATATATATATATATATATATATATATATATGAAATGGATCATATCCAACAAATATTTGAATATATTTTCTGTTTATAGGTTTCTTTTGTGGATACACTTATTCGAGTAAATGCTCTGTCTTTTTATTAAACAATATCTCAAATAATCAGGCCGGTAAATGTAATTGATATTGTTTAATTAAAAAACAGAGCATTCACTCAAATAAGTTTACCCATTAAAAATGTACAAGCAGATAAAAAAAAGTTATATATATAAGCACATGCACAAATGTGTGTGTGTGTGTGTATATATATATATATATCTCCGATGCAATGAGAATGAAAGTAATATATAAATTCTAATGTTCACAGCATTACTTTAAAAGTGGGTTCGATTATGATAGTAGAGCGATAATTATTTATTATAATTTTATCATATAGACAAAAACAGTTTACTCACTACAAAGATGGAACTTTGTTTCAGTGCATTTCAAATGCACCTTGATGGTGCATTTCAATGCATCTTTGTAGTGAGTAAACTGTTTTTGTCTATATGATAAAATTATAATATATATATATATATATATATTATGCACTCACATTGGTATCCTCTGTTATGGCGGTGAACAAGTTCATTTGGTAAGCTAATTTACTTGTGTAATCAATTCTTATTTGGTATGCCATGACCTTGCGCTAGATTAAGTAAGATTTTTTTTGCATGCATATAAATTTTAACAAGTTTTATTCTTACCATCAAAATTGTTGTAGAAATGACATGACCGATTATTAACTTTAGCTTTACACATGTGAACCTGAAAAAAAAAAAAAAAAATGTCAAAGAAATCAAATAAATTCAATGAACAAACAGCAAGAAATATATATTTATTAAACTTAACTTGGATCTCGAATCACAAAGCTAGAAATGTTTCAATTGTTCATAGTTTTGTTGTATTCTGCAATGTATTTATGACTGTATAGATGCTTCTATATAGTAAAAATTAACTCCCTTGTAAATTATCTTTACAAAAAAAAAAAATTATCTGCCAAAAGGGATATACAAAAATGTAGTTGGTTTATTCTTTCTCTTTTCTCATGCCTTTTGGGGGATAACAAGCAAGCACCATGTTCATAGAACAATTCCTTCTTGAGATTAGAATAAACATGGAAATTGTTTGAAAGAAAATTATGGCTTGTGCATTGAATTTGACTCATTTTGTAATTTTATACTTAAAAAAAACCAAAAAAAAAAAAAAACCAAAAAAAACCCCAGAGAACTCATTCCTTTAATTTAACAACCATAAACATCTGCTACATTTTAACAAAGCTTTCAACCTATTTGTCAACAGAATTCCCTATTTTTCGAAGAATTCTCTTTACTGACAACAGGTTTGTAATTGGTCATTTGACTAATTTTAGTCTTTAGGAAGAGGCAGCTGAAGTTTCTGAGACACATTATGAGATAGGAGGGCCTGGAGAAATTCATACTCACAGGTTGAATAGGGGGAAAGAGAGACAAGGGAAAACAACGTGACATATCTGGTGGATGACATAACGTGGTCTTGAAGAGGAAGCAGAGAGAAGGAGCTTGTTGAGAGATGCAAGGGATAGGAGGAGGTGGAGAGCCATGATTCTCTATGTCCTGAAAGGACATGGTACATAAAAAGAAAGAATTTCAGATGGAACTTTGATGACTGAACTTAGTCTCAATATTTTTTTCTTTAAATTATGTGGTTTGAGATAAAATAAAATTTACATTCCTGTTAAGTTTTTTCAGAGTTTTTCTTTAAATTTGTTAGTTATTTATGTCTTAGCATTTATTCTTTTTACCATTCTAAGAACATTTTTGATGAAAGTAATCATGTTATGAGAGATTAATTTTGATATCTAAAAGATGCATTCTCTATAGTAAATAATCCAGTGTTATTACAATAGAAACTATCATCACTGTAGCATATAAAGAATCAATTAATGGAAATATCTTCAATGAAGTCCAATAGAATTAAACAGAGATGTCAGAAAAGGCTTTAACTAGGAGATGGCCATTCTCATGATATACTGATTAGAAGAGGTTTTACAACCATTATATTGATGAGCATAGAACTGAAAGTCCAATGCATTCAGCATTTTAGATGCTCTAAGGTATAAAAGTTCTTGTCTAAGTGAAAATCTTATTGAGGAGAAAGGAAATACTTGCTCATGTGTTGCAAATATTTGTTAAATACTGCAGATAGACTAGACAAGAAAATGATGGTAAGATATGACTGAATTATTTCTGTACTGGGCCCATTTGGTTTTTGCTGCTAGATATCATTAGTAATATTTGGCTTTAACTTTATTCAAACAAATGCCATTATTATATTCTAACAGCTGTCAATTTTTTTTTTGCTTAGTGATTCAAACACTGAAAACAGAAGATAAGCAATAATTTCAGTATATTATGTTTTTTTTTTTTATTTTAAAAAGGTAAAAATGTGAGTAAAAAAAAGCAAAAAAAAATGTTTGCCATTTATAGAAAAGCTATTGTGAATGATGGGACGTGTCAAAAGTGGTTTATGAAGTTTTGTGCTAGAAATGTCTTACTGAATGATGCACTACAGGTAAAATCAAATTAAAACATTACTTGAGAAGAAGCAACATTATCTGATGCAGAAGATGGGCCAACATACTTCAGATATCCAAATTGAACAATACAAACAGCTTTCAGAGAAAAGAAAAAATCTAGTAGATCCTATTTAAATGCTATATTTTTCAAAGAAATTGGAATAAGAAAAGGGTATTTTACAACATAGAATATGAGATATAATGAAGAAAGCACAAACTGTACCAAAAGTTGGCCTTCATCCCAAAAAGTGTTGCTGTATACATTGCAGGATTTGAAAGGATTCTCTACATTGAGTTTGTTTCATAGTGTACCAGTGTGATAGGTGTATGTTGCTATTAGAACTATTTGTAAATACCAGCAATACATTTTCACAGCAAAAAAAATTTAGCAGCAATACATTTTTAGAAGGAAAAGAAAAAAAAGAAAAATTACCAAAGCTCTCAAGAAAATTAAATTTTGGCATTAAACAACCCATAAGGAGCTGATATGGTGTTTATCAAATCAAACCCTTCAATGTGGCAGTGACTGCTGGACAACTGCCTCACAGATGGAGAGACTTGTAGCAATAGAAATGTTACGCAGTAGTATGTTGAGAATACCATGAATGGAACATGCGAGTAATGAGGAAGTTTTTAACATAACAAAACCCATGAAGGATATTTATACTCAGAAAGAGATACTTGAAATTAATAGGATACATAATGAGGACACAAGGCCTGGAGAATTTGACACTCACAGGAAATATTCAAGACAAGAGAGGCAGAAGGAAACATCAAGTAACCTACCTAACATTTACCTTGTGCAAATTGATGGCAGAGCAGGGAGTGGAAGGGATGGTGAAAAGACAAACGTAACTAAGAGGTATAAAGAATAGGAAGTTGTGGAAAGCCATCATTTCCACCGTCCTGAAGGGACAAAACACACATAAGAAAAAGAATATAATTTTGTTTCAGACTGAAAATGTTGAGGTTATAACTACAATATTTCAATCAGCTAAATTTCCCATTCTCTCAGAATAGTTTGTAATTGTTCATAATACCATCTCATCAAGAGTGAAAAGGTTTTTTTCTGAAATGCTGTAAGCATAAAAATCATTTGGGAATAAGCAGAACCTTTCAAGTGCAACAGTGATAATTATCATTTTCTTGGCAAAGTTCTTTGTCAACATAATATTGACTTAATATAAGAAAAATGATATGTTATGGCACTGACCACGAGGTTTGTATATCTTCTATATATTAATGATTGTACCAACCTATGTATGGTGTGTGTCATGCTAATCCTATTAAAAACAGTGTTGAGCATCCAAGAGGGAAAGAGAGAGAGTAAAACAGAAAGAGAGGGACACAGAAAGACAAAAGAGACTGCAGCACACAAATGGAATAGAGGGGCAGGATCATCTGTGGGGATTGTATAATTGATAAAATAAAATAATTAAAAAAAAAAAAAAAAAAAAAAAGATACAATAAGATAAAAGAAAAAAAAAAAAAAAAAAAAAAAGGAAGAATCTCCCAGGATGCTCCCTGACAGGAAGATGGCACATGTATGAATAAAGAAGGGCTTCCCGGTGTCGAAAACAAATGAGAAGAATTGCTCACTTTTCCCCTGAACTTTCAACAAGTAAACACGTCTTTTGCTCGGAAAGGCATTTCCCTTAAAGAGACTGTTGTTACTCTATAATAAAGTTCCTAAATCCATTTCCAGTGTATCTGCAAACCTTCTTCCCTTTGTACCTTCTATTTCAGCAACAAAAAGAATTCAACATGGATCTGGAGTTTGAACAAAATCACCAGAAACATCCAAAGTATTATACCTTTTAAAACTCCAAATACCTTAGATAAAGGCAATGAAGGTTTAAATCATGTTTTGTAACCTAATTATCTGTTGAGAACATTTCAGTATTTTGAAATGAAACAATGTCACTTTACTTAAACTACCTGGGAATGGTCATAGGTTGAAAAGTATAGAGTGCAGCATTAAAAAATTATTAGTAAACGCTTGTAATTTACACAGGTCATGCTAGTAGCAAAGGATTGCATAAGTTTGATGAGTAATCTAAGAACAAAGTCAATGATTATGTTGAAAGTTTAGGAACTTTTCAAAAGATTTTAGTATAATTTTTTTTTTTACATTTGTTTTTATGAACAACAGCATTAAGAATTTCTTTCACAGTTGCTTCTCTGGTTAACTGGAATGTCAGATTCAGTGTCAAAAGCCAAACAAAATATCCAATTTTTATAAATTACAAATCAATAACAGATATTCAATAATCTTAGCAGGATTTCTGAGAAGGTTTGTGCACAGTTTTGCCTTTTTTATAAAACTGAATATAGTAGCATACAATAGCATCTGAAGTTGCAATGAAAGTAAATAACCAGTTTAAAATATGAATAAAATATTTAATATTAACTTCAGTTGGATTAAGCTAATCTTTCATCTTTAGAAATACGTTTGCAGAAAAGATCTGAGTTCAGAACCAATTCCTTTGATAGAAATTTAACCACAGCAGAGTTATCATATTTCATTATATAACATTAATTCAAAATTATTTCTCTGCATTGCTCTAAAACAGAGGGACACATGAATGTTTAATGTTACTTGGGCTAGCCTATATTTATATTATCAGATGACAAGTTTCACTTTCTGTTTGTCTTTGAGGTTTATTGATAAATCATCATAAGAGAATACTTGAACTGACATCAAAGTGGTAGGTGTAGAAATATCAGAATCTACTCTGCAATTCTCTTTGAGTAGTCTTCACTATTTGATACAGTTTTTTTTTTATTTTTATTAAAATGTTCTTTTATCCAAATATACAATTTTATCGAAAGTGTTTTGCCTGATTTTCAGCCACAAACTATCATAAGTTATTTGAATCTACTTGATTTAATATTGTGTAATAAATTTTCAATAATAAACTGTTAATATTGTTATGTGTATAATATTGTTCTATCTACAAAAAAAGAAAAAGTATGAGAGAAAGACAGAAAATGTAGAAGAAAGGAAAAAAGGAAGAAGACAATAGGTCAAGGAAAAAGAAGAAAAAGATAATGGTATAAGAAAGGTAAACGCAAAAAGAAAAGTAAACAAAAAAGGAAAGAAAAAAGGTAAAAAAGTAAAGAGACAAAAAAGAAATAAAAGACAGTAAAAGAAAGAAGTGAAAAAGAAAGAGAGGTGAGGAGAGAAATTAAAGAGAGGAGAAAACAGAGAAAGGAGAGAATAATAGAAAGAAAAGAGAGAAATTTTCCTAGTACCAGCACAAAATTTAAAAAAAAAAAAAAGCAACTAAAAATAGCTAAGACAATTGTAAGGCTTTTGTTAATGGAAGTGAAGAAAACAAGATATCTTCCCCAGAAATTTTCACAAAAAATGCCAACAAATGAGCATTCAGAAAAGTGTTAACATCTATCAATTTTTGTGTTGATCAATTTATGATTGTGTATTTGTTGCTTTATATATTACAAACATTATGAAAAACTCCACCTGTTCTTAAATTTCAGTAAACTGCAACTGTTCAAATTTTATGATTTTGAAATGAAAAAAAGAAGGCATTTACATAAAAATAATTTGCTTAATTCTAAGAATTTTTTTTCAGTTTGAAAGACCTGTTCTTTGAGGTGATGATGACTATGAAAGCTTTTCGATTAAAAAATTTCTGATGATCAGATTTTACAAAGTGAGCCAGGCAGAGAACTGTTTAGTACATATATATATATATATATATATATATATATATATATATATATATATATATATATATATATATGCATGTTCGAAAATTCGAACTTGGAACCTCAATCTCTGTGTTTCATTTTTGTCACCTGGTTAATAAATGTTTTTTGTACTGATTTCATCAGTACACTTTGGTTTGACTTTGTTTTATTGACCAACTTATCTACTCTACTTTATAAACTATATGAAGTATACATGGACTCTTTTTTTCAAATTATATATATATATATATATATATATATATACACACACACATATATATATATATATATATATATATATGACGTCACACATTATGAAATAGACCAAGTCCGACAATTACTTTAAGACATTTTTATGTTTATACTTTCTTTTTATAGATACAAATATTTAAGTAAATGCATTTACTTAAATTATTTGTATCTATAAAAAAGAATGTATAAACATAATATATATATATATATATATATATATATATATTAAGTCCTCAGTATGAAGATAATCTACATCCAGCAGCAGGACCCCTGATCAGGAGATTGGAGATTTTAAGGAGAATGGAACCATCTCTTAATTGTTTTTGTTTCCAGGTCCACCCTAACTCAGGGTGGCAGTACCTGTTAGGGTCCCAGTTATGGGCAAATAGTGAATCCCAAAACACTATGAAAGTAGAAAAATATATTTTTTATATAAAAAATATTACCAACAATTCAACTTAAAAGCAATATAATTTTAAAGCAAAATAATCAACAATAGCACTAATCTGGGAGAAGGACAATTCAAAATTTAAAACAAGCTGGACATGTGGCTAGCAACTCCACCCTGCAAGAACCTTCTTGCAAGGAAGCCATAGTAGCAATACCTAGCAGGGTACAACTATGACCCCTGGAGTCTACAATTTGATTTGTTTTGATTGATTTTTTATGGCTTATCAACCTTTTGTAGGTAATTTAAAGCCATAATTTTAGATTGTAAGATGCTTTTCTTTTTTAGATATATAATGATTTACTGATACAAGTCCTTCTAATTAACCCATAGATGGGGTGAGAAGAGGTGGATTCATAACTTTCCAAAGGTTGCACATAAGTTAATATAATTAACTCATCTGGAATTGGAACTCAGTTCTCCGTTCTGGTGTCTACAGAGTTTAACATATGGCAGCAAGGTTCCTTGATACTTCTCCCATTAGAATTATTTTCAAGAACCAATAGTCTTGTTAGTTTATTTTATTTACTTTTAACAGCAAAGAATAAACAGATGGAACAAAAAAAAAAAAATGAGAGAAAACAATTTTGTAGTTTCTTTTCCTACCCTTCTCGCTTTCGGAACTCTCTTCCAGTTTCCTGTCAACTATAAAATTTAAATGTGATGTTCATCATCATCTTCTGAATCTTGTTCTTTTTTTGCCCTCTCTGTTTTTTCACTCTCAGTAACCCCTTGCATTTGAGCTGCCTTTATTACCTTGCATGTAATGAAATGATTAAGAAAATAAAAATAGTCATAAAAAGAATAATTTCATTAAATGAATAAAATAATCCAACAATTTCCACAGTACTGTTTCCTTGTTATGTTTGCTTTATCTTTGTGCATACTTTAAATGTCTAACATTGGGCACAGTTTTTGTGTTGTCAACAAACTATGCCTATGTATATACCCACCTACATACATACATACATACAAGCCTGTTTCTATGTATCACATCAATGTAACTAGACATCTGATTGCTTCAAGCCAGGATCAAAACTCGAGCGATTTGACACTGCTCAAAATATATACATTATTTGGACAATTGTCCTCATCTTATTTGCCATACTTATTACAATGTTTCGGCCGTTATACATGCTGGCCTTCTTCAGGTGGTTGGAATGTCGAACTGAACCCTTTATTTCGCTCATTGGGGTAGACTGTTCTAGTTCCACGTGCCATGTTTAATGGATGTCAGTTGTTAGTTAATTTCCCTCTGAAATTCTCCACTGCCTTAACTGGGTATTGAACTCACACTCTTTGGGTCCTGTCACTGGATCTAACTAACACCTTTATCCACTGTGCCATGTGTCCTTGTTCTGTGTATGAATTTCTGGGTATTATAAACCTAATGTCTTCAGCAATCATTTTTTTACCAGTGCTCGTATTGTAATTTTTGCTGTTATCATTTTATGTTTTTATCAGAGCTCATATCACAATTTTTGTTGTTATTATCGCTTTTCCCTGGCACTTCTTATTACTTATAATTGGTGAAAATGAAAAGCCTGGGAGAAAATTCTTCTTATCCTCACAATATTCATCTTTTCTTTTATCTGCACTAAACTTGATCTTAAGTCAAATGTTTTTTTATTTGGATTAAAAACAAAACAGCTGATCAAGAAAGAAGCATAAACATTTATTGCATGATTATGGTAAACATTTCTTATTCTGTTTCATAATGAATACTTTATTAGTATATAAGTCTTCAGCTGATATTAATATATTTTGGTTATGCAAACAAAATGATCCATGTTTCCTGAGCTATAAAAACAGGCTAAACTGATTACTTTTTAAATGATCTCTAACACGGCACATACACAAAGACAAAAGGAAAGAAAGTGGTTGATAGATTGCGGAAGGATGGTTAATCTCTATTTAATGCTAGACGGAAAAGCAGTTTGAATATGTAAAATACAATCAGTCAAGGACCAAGTTGCCAAATGGGATTATGTATGTACAACTAGAAAAAATTAAAGAAAGACACACAAATAAAACACAACTCCTCTGACGAGATATTTTCACTGGTGCCCTGACAGCATGAATTTAAGCATGCTACTAGGTTGGCACCTTGTTTCCACCCTTTTACTGTCAAAACAGTTAAATGGAACCACCTCTTCTACTCCAACAGCTTCTTCTCTTGCACATCCTGACTGTGAAACTCCCTTCCTCTTACTTGTTTCCCTGATAACTATAAAAAAAAAACAATAGTTTACACTAGAAAAACTTGAACTGACCTAAGTACTCCAATGCCAACCCATGCTACAAAGGACTGGGTATGCAGGTGTTAACTGAAATATTTGCCTCAAGTGATAATCATTTGCCTCAGATGATCATTATTTTGAGAGAAAAGCTCAGTGAGACACAACATCAATAAAAGATGCTTATCAAAAGACAAACATGTAAACTGATATATTTTGCCTTTGCATGTCAAATTTCACTTTATTTAATAAAAGTTAAATTTGGTACAAAGCTACTTTATCAATGATTGGTTTCTGAAAAAAATTGTCCATGGAAAAAATTAGGGGATGTTCAAGGGACAGGTAATTGTTGCTAAAATCATATTAACTTGCTTTTTAGTGAAAAATATTTTCAAAGATTTATTTGTTCCTATTGATATCAAATTTAAGCTGTACATTTTGAAAGAATTTTAAAATTCTAATTCATCACATCATTGTGATTTTTTTAAAATTAACCTTTGACAAAGTGCTGGAAAGTTCTTGGCCTTAGTCACTTACCAAAATATAACTAAATATCTTCTTGAAATCCCTTCTTCTTCAGGCAAAGAAGTTTTCTGCATGCACACATATTTGCTTGCATTACAGGTCTCCGTCAATAAGGAGCAATGATGACATTCAACAAATTAGAAGATTGCTTTAAGTAAAGCACAAGATGAGGTTTTGGGCTTTAATGCATCTTAATGTTGCTTGAATTAATAACTAACAGCAAAAACAGGAGGTGGCTCTATAAAATATTTTGAAAATTCTTCACAAAGAACTTCAGAATTCTCCTTAAGAGATATCCATAAACAAGATCAATGCAAGCAAAAACAGAATTTAACTTAAAATTGAAGCACTTTTTTTTTTTTTTTTTTTTTTAACTCTGCTGAGATTTACAGGAAATAGTTTACTGTAAAGAGTTAAGCTTTTAAATGCATAAAAAATATAAACAAAGAGCAAGATAGAAAAAAGACAAATGAATATATATATATATATTCCATACGATTCCAATGGAATAAATTATGACCATGGAATATTAGTGTTTAAGCCTTTTTATTATATCCTTAATCTGTCCTGGACATTGATTTCTACCTGGATTCTATCCTCTTGGATTTATTTTTTATACAAATATATATGTATGTGTATGTATATATATATATATATTAGATATATGATTGCATATGTATGTGTATATTTACCACTAATATTATCTATCTATCAATCTATATATATTATATATATATATTAGCTATTATTATTATTATTATTAAAACCAACAGACATTTTGCGTTTACTGATTGACTTTTCAAAATTACAAATAATCCTACCCAGACAAGGAGGAAGTTCTGTCAGAAATTGTCCAAAGTTCATTTTGGAAGAAAAATACAAGAAATATGGTCCCAGCTTTCAACGTTCTTATGTTACCAGGGTAGGTAAAGACAATTTGTGAGTTTCATAGAACTACTGAGTGTTGTGATGTAAGCATGGTGTGACATGTTTTGTTTTTTGTGTTTTTTTTTTATATACATTGAGGATATGAGCTATTAAGTTATAATTATTTTAATTTATTGATGGTTGTTTTTGTTGTATAATTATTGCGTCAAGGGTCATACCAAAATATAAGTAGTAAAAACTGACTTATGATCCTTGAAACAATACACATGCAACAAAAACAACCAGACGTCATAGATAACCACAAATTTGCAGAGATTCTGTTTCTTTATTATCTGAGAACTACCAAAACATTTTGGAAAAGTGTGTCTAATATTTCACTGTTGTCTTCTTTGCAGTTTTGAATTTAGAGTTATGCTTTTCTAAGACTAGTTGCCAACCAAGACTAAAGAACCTGGTCTATCCTGCTATTTAATTGATAGAAGAATATTAGGTAGGCTTTCCTACTGCCTGGTCAACACTCCTCCCTCTTCTCTTGAACTGATCAACAGTTGTATAATACCGGGGTGTTTGTAGTGCCATGTCGTGTATGGAAATGTGTCCCTGCAGTCACCTCCGGTGGGCAACCCTGAGGCCACATTATGATGCAGGCTGTGCCAACTTCTCTCTGCCCATGTCACGGTCGATAACTGTCTGCTTCTTTTACTTCAGGCCTTCTCATCTTCCAACCATAATTCCACATGATGACTTACAAAGACCGAAAAAGTAATCCTAAACCAGCCCCTTAAAAATCACCTAAACCCCTCAACATTTCGTTCTCCAACATCTGTGGCATTAGAACAATCACCACAGAGATCCTTCCCTGCCCTCCATTAGAATGTCTGACGCTCAACTTCTAGAGAGCACCTCTCTGCGGCTGCTTGGTCTCACGTTGACTGCTGACCTGAGATGGAACAAATACATTGAGTCAATTGCTTTGTCCACCACAAGGAAAGTTGGCTCCCTGTGCTGCGCCAGGAAATTTTTCTCTCTGGAATCGATCCTTCAGATCTACAAATCAACAATTCGCCCTTGAATGGAGTATTGCTGCCATATATGGTCTGGAGCCCCTTCTGTTTGCCTCGGGGTTCTTGATAAGCTCCAGAGGCGGATATGCAATATAATTGGCCCTGTTCTGGCATTTCGTCTACAGTCACTTTCTCACAGATGCACTGTCGCCTCTGTCTTTTTTACAAATACTTTCATGGTAATTGCTTCGAGGAGCTGCATTCACGGGTTCCCAGACTTCATGAATTCAAGTGCCCTACGAGGCTGGCATCCCGCTCTCACCCTTTCACTGTCAAAACTACTAAATGTAGCCGTCTCTTCTACTCCAATAGCTTCATGTCTCGCACCTCTCGCCTGTGGAACTCCCTTCCCTATTCCAGTTTCCCTAAGAGCTATAATCTCCAACTATTCAAATGTAATGTCAATCGACATCTCCAGTTGCCTTGATCTATCCACTATCCTTCTCCTCATCCTTTTCTTTATCACTCCTATCTGATTTTGCGCCAAATCTTCTGTAATCACTTGTGTCCTAGTCGCTTCCCGCCTTGCTTGGGGTGAAACGCTTAAAAAAGAAAAAGAAAAAAAAAAAAACTTGACCAAGTGGGTATTTGAACTTAGCTCATCAATTGTATATATTCACACACACACACACACACACACACACACACACATATATATATTTTTTTAAATCGGTATCTCCCCAGGCAAGGCAAGGGTTACAGGGTATGGATAAAGTAGGAAGAGAAACATTAATAATGTGTAGAAAAGAGAAAAGAGGACGGTAGATAGCGATGGACATCGCATTTAAATTTTTGCAGATTAAAGTAGGATGGAAAGCATAGAGTCAGAAGGGGGTTCCACAAGTGAGAAGTGTGAGAAAAGAAACTTTTAGCATAGAACTTATGGCTACATCTAGCCAGCTGAACTTTAATGAGATCTTGATGCTAGTCTAGTACTGCGCTTAAATTCAAAAAGCCTAGGTAAGGTACCATAGCAAAAAGCTCATTCAAACAATTACCTTGAAAGTATTTATAGAAAAAGCACAGAGAGGCAACCTTATGGTGGTGGGAAAATGACTGAAGCTGAGCTGCTAGATCAGGACTAATAATATTGCTGATTCTTCTTTGGATCTTATCAAGCATCTCAAGGTAAATAGCAGGGGTACCAAACCATATATGGCAGCAATATTCTAAGCATGGAGGAATGGTAGACTTATAGATATGTAAGATAGATTCTGGAGAGAAAAATCATATTGTACAACATAGTGAATCAACTTTCTATGCAGCTGACCTAGTAGTGGATTCAATATAGTCCTTCCATTTCATGTCACCTGAGAAAGTTAGCCTGAAAAGGTGCAACAAGCCACTTTCCTGGAGGTTAGCATCAGTCATGCTGATGGAGGTCAGAGAGGAGTTTCTCAGATGATTAACAAAGAGAAGTTTATTTTTGTAGGCATTACAATTAACAAGCCATCTTTTGCTCCAGTTAATGGACATAGGCTGCTATTTTGACCTTGTCAGACTGATCAGCCTCAGGCAGGCAATGTGCCGTTAGTGTTGATACCAAGTTGAGAAATGATGTTATCAGCAAAGTCATTAATGTAAATTAAAAACAGAGTAGGACCAAGGATGGAGCCCTGGGGGACACCTGTGTTGGTACAAGAGGATGTAGACAAGTGGCTGTTCAGGATAACTTCCATTTCGCAATTTGATAGGAAAGACTGGACTAATTAAAAAATGTGTCTGGAGATACCATAACTTTTCAGCTTGTATAGAAAACCTGCATACCAAACCCTGTCAAAGGCTTTTGAGATGTCCAACTCTACAGCCCGAGTATCATTGTTTTTATCGAGAGCATGACAGAAAAAGGCCCTGTGATGAGAGATGCTGAACCAATTCAGCATTGATTGGGGCCTCTAGGAGTTTCCTAAAGAGAGGTAGAGTTGAAAAAAAGTTGATTTGAATACATTAAGACAGTGAGTAATGCATTTCATCAGTGGTGACAGCAATAAGTTACCGTTATTTCTTGAAAATAATACGCATTTTTTACTGTAAATTACAGGTGATAGTAAGGATTCATATTATAAAGAGGTTTGAACAAAAATATTTTTTTTATTATTGATTTATAATAATAAATACATACTTGTTCTAAAATAAGAAAGATATTATCCCAATTTTCATTTTAAATCCAACAATAATAATTGTAACATTTTTTAGTCAATAAATTTATGTTTATCAGTAACCGCATTTTTTATTTGGCAAAAGTTTTTTAAAAAATCTATAAAAAGGCCAATTTCAAAGAAAAGAGGATATCAAGTTAACAATTTATTGAAATTTTAATTTTCATCATCATCACCACTTTCTATTATAGAATCAATATCTAAATTGTCATTAAACAAATTATCATTCACAATATTATCTTCATCCTGTTCAAAATTATCTTTGGCCTCTTCATTCTCTTGCCAAAGGATGTCATCTTCAGAGCCATCCATGGCTGTTTTGAAACAACTCTTCTTGAAACCTATCTTTATAACATGACATTTATCGGGAAAACCACATGGTAATTTTCAACATTATTTTAGCTGCTTAGTTTCGATTTTATTCCTAATGTCAAGGTCGACATAATGTCCTCATAATTATTTATTTATATATTTTTTTTTTTTGACAAAGTGTATAGATGTGTATTATACATAAGGATAGATATACTTTTTAATTTTTGGATCATTTGTTGAGGTGCATATTGTTTTCGAGAAATTCCGGTAGTCACCTCAACTGGTGCAGATTTTAACAAGCATGATCTGCAAGATTTTTGTTCATCACTGGTGGCTACATAGAAAAATATTATTTTGTAGCTGAAAATTTGTTCAATACAACAATTTTATTGAGCTTCTTGTACCAGTTGTTGTTGCTGTAGTAATAAATAGGAGACATTACTTTTTGGAGCGTCCATTGTACATTCTGTATTATTCTTCTTCTATGTGTCATCTCTCTTCAAGACATTTATAATCATGGTTATCCACAACTTCCTATCCTTGTTAGCTTTTAGTAATCTTTGTCTTCGTTAATGTCCCTCCCAGTACCTGTTCTATTTCATACAAGTTTATTAGGTAGGTTACTTGATCTTTTCCTTCTGCTTCTTCTGT